TCCTCCTCTGTGTGAAAAGAGTGAACACTTCTTTCAAGTCTGTGCTTGCCCTTTGCAGTTTTTATATGGATTTAAATTCAAAATAATTACACTTTTAAAATCAGAGGTGTCTTTTAGTGGTTCGATCTATTAAAGTGCAAGTTTACTTGGGAATAAACCCAATACATTTGGTGGAGCATCACCTGGCCCAAAAGTCCAATTAAAGTGTTAAGAGTGTTGGACAGGGTCTTGGGAGATCCAAGTTCTCTCCCTATTTGGCCATGAAACTTACTGGGTGATCTTGGGCTCATTCTCATCCTGGCCTACCTCACAGGGCTGTTGTGAGGATAAAACGGAGGAAAGGAGAATTAGGAAAGCCACCTTGGGTTCCTCTCTGGGAAAAATTAGGGTATCAATGTAATAAATCAAATGGATACAAATTATTAAGACTATTTACTAGAATCTGTAGCTTAGTCGAGGTTCAAGGAATTTAGGGTAGCAAATTTGGGGAGGGCCACTTAACTGTAGCAAACCAAAACTCCACCTCCATTTAATTTCACTGCATGAATTTCATAGCATCTCTAAGATTTCATTCTTAGTCTGAGCCGCCTTGAAGCAAAATCTTATTTTGAAAAGCACCCTTTAAGTCTCTAAAAGAAAAAAAAAGAGAAGGAGAAAGCTCAGTTGTGTGTAATTATACGAAGAATGTATATGCCCATACAACGCGTGTGTGCAAGTTTTCATAATCCATTCCAGGCACATTAAAAAAAATTGCATGGATACCAATTTCCTGCTCTGCGAATGCTGATTACCTTTTGTTCCCCTTGCACTGACATCTGGTCACACAAAAGTGAAACAGAAAAACCGTTTGTGCAACTGGATAATCCCATGCGAAATAGTGACTGCAGGCATGCACAGACAAAAACCAGTTCTCACACACCTTGAATTGGTTGGTATAAGCTATTCTGCGCCCAGCACCCACACGTCTTGTGGGCATACACAGAAAAACACACCCTCCTTCTCCCGTGCACTTAACTTTACAGAATATCTGTGTTTGATCCACATTCAATATTGCCGAAAGGGGAACAACAGAACTAAAGGAAAACCTTGCTGGATCAGAAGAAGAGCCATCAAACTGAGCATCTTGCTAACAAGGTGTAGGAAAAGCAACAGCTTTCTCTTTGCATCTGCTATTGAGATACACTGCACCTAAATGGGAAGGCTCATTTAGCTGACATCATACAATTGTCCTGGGTTTGTGAACTGTGCAGGTGGGTAGACAGTAGAAGTGGATTTCCTGGTCAGTCTTTGGGTAATGTGACGTTAATCCACAAGAATTTCTGGTTTCCAGGAATGTAACATTAATGGCGTTGATGCCCAGAAGTTATTACCAGAAGGAGACAACTGGAACCCTCCATAAGCTCTGGCCTGCATCCTCCCTGTCCATCAGGTATTTTTGCTAGGGCTCATGGACATTGTAGTCCAAAAGCATCCAGAAGGCACTATATTAGAAACATAGAAACAGCGCGAGTCAGAAGGGGTCTCCCGGGCCATCTAGTCTGACCCCCCCTTCCAAAACGATTCTCTAGAAGTGAGGAAAATTTGGAGTTATTTACATGGAAGGAGATCCACTGCTCCAAACAAGTTCTGGGCTCAAGGCTGTTTCATTGGAAGGGACAAACCTTGTTCCATTTTTACTCTAGAGTAGGTGCACAGGAACTGACCTCATTCTGGTCCCTAGCATGTGCAGGGAGAGCTAAGGGGACTTTGAAAATCCAGGTTGGGAGCCCTTTGAGGGTAAAAATGAAATGCAGAAAAAAAGATGTAACTTCTGGCAGCAACCTCAAAAAAGACTGCATAACATGCACAGCACATTGGCAAAGATACACTGAACATGGAATTGTATGCCACTTTAGACAGAAAAGAATCCACCATTCCCAACACGCCCCAGTCTGGAAGCTACTCCGCAGATCTTTTTCCTTGCCACGTTTGTGCCCTAAGCAGGGTTTAAATTCAACCACTCTCCTCCCCAGTCTCCCAGCTTCACTTAGCAGGCCGTGTTACCTACTGCAACATCCTTCTAAATTCAGAAAGGCTTGCTCCAGAGTAAAGGGAAGCAATCTAGGAGCACTGCCTGCTGCATATCTACTCAAGAGTAAGTTCCATGGAACCTAGTATGACACACTGTCAAGTTAACACACAAAGCACCGCAGGCCTGCCAGATAAATCATTGTGGCAGGTCGAACTTATTATGCAATTGCTTTGCATTTGTTTGGTTTTCTCTTTGCTGACGCATCTATCATCATCGTTTTCCTACAGTCATTTATTCCATTTTAGGAGAAATTGTCTCTTTTAATATCATCCCAGCTAAGAAAATACGCATTAACTGTGCAGTCCTATCACACCAAGATGGAAAAAAAACGTTACAACCACTAACGTTTCCAAGTAATGCCGGGAACCGTGGAACTTTTTTCTGTCTAAACATTCCTAGCTTTGCTTTCACAAGTCCTGCCAAGCAGCATTTTAAGGGTGTGGAAATAAATGTTTTATGACTACCACAAAGAGAGCTGAGGATGGATTGTGTGTGTGAGGACATCACCATGTTACGTTCTCGTCCAAAGGGCAAATGCTGTCAACCCCTGACTTTCGTGCCACTGCCAGATCCTTCTAAAAGCAAACTCGTTTGGTAGCCACACTGGGCCACGCAAAAATAAGTGCATGATTTCCACATCCCAAGGGATTCTCTCCGGGTATACAGACATGTATACCTTGAGAACAAGACAAAACACCCTGGCAAAGCGTAAACTGACCAAATATAATGCACGGGTCCATTTAACAAATCCAGGACCGGATAAATAGTGAGTCAGTTGTGCATGCAGGGAGAACACAGAGAGTAGGATAGGAAAGGGAATTGGCCTCTGTAAGACCTTTCCCCCTGAGGTTGTGGAACTTCAGCTCCCATCAGCCCCAGCCAAAATGATCATTGATTACTGGAGCTGCAGCCTCCAGTAACCAACAGATCATAATATACTGCAACTTCTTGTTGCAGTTCACATCTGCATCCATTTAAAACGTCACGAGTGTGCACCCATGGGTGTGGGAATGTCCTCATTTCAGAAAACCTCTGAGGGCCAAAGTACCTTATTTCCAAATCTGTCAGGCCAGGGCCCCACAAAATTGGGTCCCGACCCCCAAGGGAATAACCAACTTTCCCCAGGCTGATGTCCAACAGATGTGTTGGCCAGCATCTCCCAGTAACCCAACACATGCATACGCTATTCTTCCTAGACATTCAAAAGGACAAAGTGATGCACTTCTGTAGTCCAAGATAATAGATTTAAATACTGCCCCAAACAAAAGTTACGAGGAGAGTGCACTGCTCCTGGTCTAGCCCAACCCAATCGCTACAGCGGGTGTTTGCTGTGCCATGTGATGGTAATTGCATACCATGTCTGCAGTTTTCAAATCAAATCAAATCTCAGCCTTACCACTAATTGACTAAATCAGGTTACCGCCTCATAGGCACCCATACACAAAATGAGAACAAAATGCAATCCGCATCTGGAAGGCCTTTTTTGCAAATGTTTGTGGACAATGCCAGTGAAGTTCAAAATAATTTGTTTTGGCTGAACTCCTGGCTTTATATCCATGAATCTCACAGGATTTCAAGGGGAACCTGACCTAACATTCAGAAACACATGTCCAAATGTTTTGAACGCAATGAAATTGTACCAGTAATTGGTTAGAATATGTCTTGGCACCAAAAGTGGAAAATCCATATAAAGACCTTGCATGTATCAGCAAAAAATTAACTCTGCCAACCTGGAGCACTTCTCTCTAAAGATGCAAAGATATCCAACGTGCCCATTTTCTCTGCTTCACAGGCTACATCAGTTTAAAGGACTCAAGCCTAAAAGTCACAGAGCTGGAGCCAAAAAGAGCACTGGATCCTCAGGTCCATCAGCAGCAACATTAGGGATGACACTGGCCTGCCTTACAGGGTTGTTGTAACTATTACAAAGCTACACACTGAATACCCTCCCAGTGCACATAAGCACTTTATTTATGGGCAGATGGCTCTGGGAGGGGCAACTAACTCCTTTTTCTCCATTGCTGTGAACATGAATTGTGTGGGGTGAGGTGCCTTAAAACTGTCCGCTTTACTTGAAGTCTCATACTGCGATGAATATTTTTTGGCAGGGAGTCCAAGCAAAATAACAGGACATATTATCTAGCACCAAGTTCGAGTTTTCCCTGTGTCCGGAAGCTCATTCCAGTTAGGGCATGAGTGAAAATGGGGAAATGTTTAAAACTGATGGAGAAATAAACAGATACCAGTCTGCTTGGATCAGAGTTACTTGGTTTGTTTTGGAAGGAAGGGGGTAATTCTCCCCCAGCTGGTACCAATAAAGGAGGAGGAGGAGTTGGTGGCAGCAAATCAGAAGGTGACCTATAAGGAGTTCCAAGAAGCATAAATTAGTAAAATATGGGGTTTTGGTAAAGGGGCTGGGGCAAAGGGAAGTTGCACTGCTCCATCCAGAACAAAAGGGTGGGGGGCAAGAAAGAAAGCCAGCCAGCCAGCCCTGGATAGTCCTGTTGCTTCCCCCCCCCCCACCCCGATTCCAAGGCCCCCAGAAAGGCAGTGAGGAGGCGCTGCTTTCGCAGCAGGAAGAGCAGCTCCTTGGAACGCACATTAAAAAGCGGGGGACCATAACAAGGGACTGGAAAGTGGGTTGCGAAGGAGCAGCCGCACTTCCAGGAGGGGTCCTTATCAAGCTGCGATGGGGGTAGATGGCTTGTGGGGCGCACCCGCTTTCCTCGGCTGCAGGGGGAGCTAACTTGGGCGGGGCGCCCGAAGCGCGCAGCTCCACTCGGACGGGCGCTTCTGGGGAGATGCGGGGACCCCTTCCCTCCATGGCGCGGAGCCCCGGAGTCTCTCCGCTCGTGAGCAAGCACCCCCACCGGAGGGGAGCGGGACGGGGCGCCGGGCGGGCTCTTGGGGAGGGCAGCGCTGCGCTTACCGACCACCAGGCACAGAATATCCAGCGCGACGAAGATCCGGGCGCGCTCCATCGCGGACCGGGCGCTGCGGCGCCTCACATTGCGCGAGCGAGCCGGGCGCGGCGGACGAGCTGCGGCTTAAAGCTCGACGGGGAGGAAACGGGGAGGCGGGCCGGCGGGCTGGGCGGGCGGGAAGCCGAGGGGCCGGCCCGGCTGCCGGGATCGACCTGGGAATGCGCCGCGCTCCGCCCCTGCCCGGCCCGTCTTTTTTCCCCGTCCACGTGTGCCAGCCGGCGATCCCGGAGCATGTGCAGAGTGCTCCCCCCCCCCCGGGCATTCTGCAGCTTCCAGTTTACCCAAACCGGGGCAGCGCTGTTCCGAGGAGGAGAGCGTTGCCTTCCCACCCTCTTGGCCCAGAAGGAAGTCTCTTTTTCCCGGGTTTCTTCCAAACGCGCGCTTAAAGGCAAAGTACTTCTGAGCGTGGGAAAAATGCCCCGCTTTCCCGAGTGACGAAGCCGCTTAAAAAAGAATAAACGCAATGTAAGGAAAGTGTGCCTTAAAACATGTGCAGAGTGCGGATTTCCCCCAGCTTATCTTTCCTTGTTTCTTTGGTGTCAGGACTCAGGGCAAGGTGTTTCTAAGCATATGAAGATTGCTCTGCCCTTCTCATGGAAGGGAAAAAACTTTGTTTAATAAATAAATGCAGGACAGCATGCCTGGAACATACGCCTTTTCACCCTGCACAAGAAGCTTTCTTTCTTTATTGAAAGAATGAAGTAAGTCTTGCCAAGTACCACATTTTGAATGATCAGTTAAAGATTTTTTTTCAGCACGCCCCACTAACTTAGAGAGCTGCTTTAATTTATCTCTTCATACCTGAAGGAATGTCCCCTTCCCTAAATGCCCTCATGCCCCTTAAGATCCGCTGGGAAGGCCTTGATCTGAGAACCCTCCCTGAAGGAGGTAAAAAGGGCATCTACCTGGAGCAGGGCCTTCTCTGTGGTGGCCCCCAGACTATGGAATGCGCTCCCTAGAGAGGTCCGCCTGGCACCGAGCTTATACTCCTTCTGGCGCCAGGTAAAGACCTTTTTATTTAACCATCATTTTAATATTCAAGGGGTTTAGATGTTTTAAGATTTTTTTTCCTTTTTCTATCCTCACAATCTCATTTTCTATTTTTTTGCTTCCTTTTCTTGGTAGTTTATGATATTCAGTTTATATGGTTTTAATAATCGTGGTTTTATTATTGTATTATTCTAATGTTATACTATGTAAGCCGTCCTGAGTGCTTGTTGGAAGGACGGGATACAAATATTTGTAATAAATAAATAAGATCTTTCATTAAAAATGCTTACCAGAGTGAAATAAAAGCTTTAATATCAATAAAAAACAGGTATGTTTACCTATGGAAATGTCTTTGTCTAGGGTAGAGTAACTCTGAGCATGTGCAAAATGCTGGCCTGAAAGGACTGTCTTTTGAAGCCACCTCTTCCATGTTATAAGCATGAAGCGTCTTTTGTTCCAATGTCTCTGTTACTACAATGGCCGGGGGTGAATGCAGTTGGAACCACATGTGTTGCTACTGTAGAGCATGTGCAGAGTGCCTTATGCTTCTGACACTGTGGTCTGCTGGGCTTACTAGAACAGCATCCCCAAACACACACACACACACACACACACACACACACACACACACACTGCCCAAGGCCGGGCACACTTATTTCCCCCACACTTTCATGGCCTTCCATTCCAAAAGGGATCTGTACTTTTGATGTGCATCCCTTGAGCCTGGAGGTCCAGGCCCTGCTTCATTCAAGGCAAAGTGTGTCCCAAAAGCAACCTTAATCTTTACCGAGATCCATGAACTTGAGAAGGTTGCAAAAAGCCCTACACAGTCCGTCAAAGGTTTCTGAGCCCCTGGACATGTCCGAAGCCCTGGAGCAGAGCAAAGATCATGCCCCCAACCCACCAAAATCCACCCCCTGAGCTTTCTTCATTTTGGCCATATAATTTAAGCCAGGAGGGGAGTTACTGTGTTCCTGCCATTGGGAAACAATTGGGAGTCAGAAATCTATGCCATCCAATTTAGGTCGGGTGGGTGGGGAACCCCATTAATTCCACCTATTGTTATACACCCCCAGCAGTCAGAGATTTTAAGGTTTAAATAATTTTAATCTGCTTTTATTAATATTCTCAGTTGCATTTTATTTTGTTACTGTATTTTGTAATTGTTGTGTATTTATTGTTTGTTTATATTGTAAGCCATCCTGGGACAATGGGATTATGTAGGACGGGATAAAAATATTCCAAGCAAATAAATAAATCTGGTGCTGATTGCCCGAAGGTCTGTGAGCATCCCTCTCCAAACTGTGCCAGAGGGTTTGCAGTGGGTTTTGTTTTGTTTTTTTGCGCAGGGTCCTCTTTTTGGAATTGTGCTTGTTTGCAGAAACTAAGCAGCAGAACCAAATGTTTCTTTAAAAAAAAAAAAAAGGGACTCTTTCCCTCTCAGTGCACTGAGCCGGCTTTCAGCCAAAATTAAACTGGGCTGAGAGGTTGTTTATCCGACCGAAGGTCTAGTTAAACCGTCTCACTGTTTCTGTCAGAGTTGCCACCAACAGCCTCTCGCAGACGTTGGCTCAGGGATGCGTTTACGGTGACCTCGGGTCGCCTGCGTATCCCCAAATCCTTCCTGACGCACGGGCGAAAGCATTCCGGAACTACGCTCCCTTCTCATCCCAAAGACACGGGACGGGGAGGGCTACTTGTGGGCAAGTTTTACAATGGAAGGAGATGCCTCTTTGTTTTAGCACAACAGAGAAGTCGGTGGAAAGTTGCACGTCTCTGTATTCCGGAAGGCTGCCACGTTAGACAGCATTCCTGAACTGCATTTCCTGGGAGGAATGGAACAAGGGCGCTCTCCAGAGTCAAAAGCTGGGAATTGCAAAAGTGAAACCGGCTTGAAACATAGAAACATAGAAACAGCGCAAGTCAGAAGGGGTCTGGCGGGCCATCTAGTCCGACCCCTGGCTCCAGCTGGCTCCGCTCATGACATGCCCACCATGTGCATGTCCAGCCTGCCCTTGAACACCCGCACCGATGGGGCCTCAACCCCCTCCCGTGGAAGCCCATCCCATATCCTTGGGGTCCTCACTGTCAGGAAGTACTTCCTGGCATCCAAATGGGACCTTGGTTCCCTGAGCTTGGCTCCGTTGGAGCGCGTCCTGCCTTCCTCTGCAGGGGAGAACAAGTCTCTGCGCACCTCCATGTGACACCCCCTCACACACCTGTATGTTGCCAACAGATCCCCTCTGAGCCTCCTCTTCTCCAGGCTGAAGAGGCCCAGTTCCCTCCATCCCGCCTCATACGGCTTCCCCTGCAACCAGCCGCAAACCTTGTGGCCCTAAGCTGCACTGACTCCAACCTGGCTATATCCTTCCTGTAATGAAGGGCCCAGAACTGGACACAATACTCCAGTTGTGGGCGCATCAGAGTGGTATAAAAGGTAAAGGTAAAGGCTTCCCCTTGACAGTAAGTCCAGTCATGCCTGACTCCAGGGGGCGGTGCTCACCTCCGTTTCCTGGCCGAGGGAGCCAGCGTTTGTCTGCAGACGGTCTCCATGGTCATGTGGCCGCATGACTGAACACCGAGGTGCACGGAGCGCTGTTACCTGCCCACCGAAGTGGCACCTTTTTTATCTACCTGCATTTGCATGCTTTCGAATGGCAAGGTGGGCAGGAGCTGGGACGGAGCAACGGGACTCACCCCATTGTGCAGATTCGAACCGGCGACCTTTCGTTTCAATCAACCAGCCCAGCAGCACAGCGGTTTAAACCACTGTGCCACCTGCAGTCCCTTCAGAGTGGTATAGAGTGGCAGTAATACCTCTCTTGATTTAAAGCCACACTTCTGGCCATGCAACCAAGGGTGGCGTTTGCCCTCTTGACCACCGCATCACACGGCTGGCCCATGTTCAGCCTGCAGTCAACCAGCACCCCGAGGTCCCTTTCACAAGTGCTGCTCTCCAGCCACTTGTCCCCCAACCTGTACTTATGGCACCCATTCCTATGCCCCAAGCGCAAGGCCTTGCACTTATCCATATTGAACGCCACCCTGTTGTCAATACGTTTGAATACAGATTGGACAGATATTTATTTTTCAGTTTATATCCTGCCTTTTTCTTACAAAGGGCTCAAGGCATCTTACATCTTATCCCCACAACAACAACCCTGTGAGGTAGGCTGGGCTGAGAGTCTGTGACTGGCCCAAAGTCACCCAGGTGGCTCCATGGCTGAGCGGGGACTCGAACCCAGATCCTCTGAGTCCCAGTCCCATGCTCTTAACCACGACACCGCACTGGCTCTCAGTGTAATAGTGGATTGGTGTCTCTCTCCGTGTTTTTCTGTTCCAGGTAACAAGAAGAGCATGGGAAAGGATACGCCAATATGCAAAAGAGATGTGCTGATGGCCATTCAATCCAGATTCAAACCAGTTGCCATTTACAGCATGTCACATATGTATATTGTCTAAATTCAGACTGAGCTGCCAATTTGTTGTCACTAGTCATGAAGTCGTGTCCGACCCATCGCGACCCCATGAACAACATTCCTCCAGGACTTCCTGTCCTCCACCATCCCCTGGAGTCCACCCAAGCTCACCCCCTTCCCCCCAAAAAAAGCCTCATAAGCAATGTCATTTAGGGTTCTCCTCCGGGAGCCCTCTGGGAGAGACATCAGGAGGCAAAGTACCCGGAGGAGGGCCTTCTCTGCAGTGGCGCCCCGCCTGTGGAATGCGCTCCCCAGAGAGGCCCACCTGGTGCTGTCGTTATTTGTTTTTCAGCGCCAGGCTAAGACCTTTTTATTTCAATGATATTTTAATAACTTTTAATATCACTTTATAGGTTTTAATATGCAGTCAGGGTGGATCTGGATTTTATCTGTATTATGTTTTATTTTACTTATGTAAGCCATCCTGAGGCTATGCGATGGGACGGCATACAAATGCTCTAAATAAATAAAAAAAATAAAAAAATAGGGTGGATAAAGGGCAATACAGAAATTTAAACAGGGAAGTCAACAACTCTAATTTTCAATTCATTTTTCTTCTGCTGTTCATGCTGCTTTTTCAACTGTATCCTATGCATATTTTTCTCCTA